CTTGGGAAGCCTGCACTTTGCCCTTTTTTATATTAATGAAAATTTGTTGACAGGTTTATCCTTGAAAATAATGTAAAAGTCAGATTTTTTTGGTATTCATCTGCCACAAAACAACAGGCTGTATATTACCATTACTTTTTACACAGTATTGCCTAGTCAAACAAGTTGTGTTCTTCCACCATCCATCCTGCCAATATAGTAAAAGGTATTAAACTATTTAAAGCCAGCATTAACTTCTACTTGTATTACAATATGAAGCCTATGATACAGTCCTCCTCCTAAAAAAACTTACAGCTTACACAGGCCATACAGACACCGAAAGAAGCAGGTGATCAATGAGTAGATGCCAGGAAAAGCTGTGTGGGACCCACCACTCACAAACAAGAAAGCAAGCCAGAAAGGTTGAGGGCAGTCCTGGCTGCAGTGACCTTGACATTGTGTAATTTTAAATGCTCAACGAGGTGTGCGAGTTAAATAACACATCTCTGAGCTTCAAGAGATCTGACTGCAGCTTATTTAAGGATCTCTTGGATCCAGCGGGAAACTGCCCAGGCAGGCAGGAAGACCCAGGGCAGTGGGTTGCTCTTCAGGATAAACTCTTTGAAGCACACCAACACTGAGCAGTGCAGAAAAACACGGTGGTGCAGCAGGATGCCTGTACAGATGGGCAAGCAACCCCTGACAGAGCTGAGATATGACAAAGGAAGTACACAGGGGACTGATGCCTGGAAGGTAGTGTCCCACCCATTTTCAGGGAGGAGGATCCAGGAATGCCAAGTGAGCCGCCTGACCCCAGTCCCAGAGGTTCGAGCAGGTCCTCCCTGAGCCCATACCTAACTAAGCACGTGAAGGAGATGGTGACTAGGAACTGCCATCATGAGTCTACCAAAACCAAGCCAGGTCTGCTCAAGCTTCCCTCTAGGAAGAGGTTTCTCATCACACAGGTAAGGTACAAGGGGCGGGAGCAAGCTGGAGTGCGGGGGAGGAAGCTACCAGACGAGGGGCAGGGAGAAGAGCAGAAAAGGAAAGCAAGCAGTCAGTGCTAGAGAATCAGTACTATATGGGCTGGACACACAGACTGATAGAAACCTCCTTAAGATCAACAAAGGCCAACGCAAAGTCCTTTATCTTAGCAGAAATAACCCCATGTATGAGTATAGGTGGGGGTCCAACCGGTCAGAAGGCTTCACGGAGTAAGACCTGTGCGCCCCGGTGGGCAGGTTGAACCTAAGTAAGCAGTGTGACCCTGCAATGGAAACGACCAGCCACATAGCAGGCTCTATCAGAGGCAGTCCAAGAAAGCGAGCACCTTCTGCTTTCAGTACACGTGAGACTGCCTGTGGAGTTCCATGTCCTATTTAGAGCTCCCTAGCACAAGAAAGCCAGTGACATAGTGAAGCAGGTGACCAGCAGACGGCTGCCAAGGTGGTCAGGGAGCTGGAGCACATGCCACTCCCTGGAGAGGATGAGAGAACTGGGTTTGTTAAGCCTTGAGAGGAAGCCTAAGGACCAGAAGCAGGACAAACTTTGACCGCAACACACTGCAATTCTGCCCTGTTAGAAAACCCACTTTAAATAGGGAAAAAAAATCCTTAAGTGTTGTGGTTTAGGCTGGGATGGCCACTAAATGCATGAAGAAGATAGAATAGGGGAGAGAGACTTACAGGCTGAAAAGCAAATAAATTATTTCAATGAAATACTAATAATAAAAAAACCCCATAGTAATCTTAATGAGAAAATGATGAAATATAAACAATATTGTCATGGTTTGGGCTCGACTGCTCACTGAACTAACAACAAAACCAGTACCAAGCTCCCAGGATGATGATCACTTACTGGCAGGCACTGGGAAAGTCCCAGACTGGACTCAGCAATAGACAGGAACTGGATTCCTGTCTGGGATGTGGATGCACAGACTGGGATCAAGGGCAGACGAACACACAGCATCCTCTTGGACGCCGTCCATTGAAGAACGAGCTCTGACCCCTTTGGTCCCTCAGCTTTTACGCTGAGCGTGGGGCAGATGGGATGGAATATCCCTGTTGGCCAAGTTTGGGTCACCTCTCCTGTCCTCTCCTCCCCACAGATACAACCCCTCTACATTCTCCTGCTTCTAACCCTTCCATGTGGTGGACAACAAAGTTACCTGAGCCTGGCTGTTAAAGCAATACATATACGCAAGAGCGTCTCTGCACACCGTTCCTGGGTATTAACTATAAGCATGCAGCCTTATCATTGCTAGAGGCAGACCCTGTCTGAAAAACACGCCATTAATTTCAGAGTGCAGTTAGTTAGAAGAGACTTAACTGGGAAGTAAAATTACTGAAAAGAAAATTGGTTTTGTTCTACCTCAAACTAGGAAATTAAGGAAAAAAAAAAAAGATTAAAGAGTGACACACTGATACAAGAGTATGCCACGCACACATTTAGATGAGAAGCCAATTTATATAAAACTTCTGTTGAATTGAAGAGAGTTGTAATGTCAGGCTGCCCTTAATATCTCATTTGCTGTCATTACTATTGGCATTCTGTTCCTTCTAGAATACAGAGAATTGGATGCAAAATGAGATGTACTATTTACATTTTAAAGTCCTTTTTGCCCTTTCCTCCCAGATAAATACATTTAGGTTTGCTTACCACCAGGTAACTTGTAAGTACTGTGCTAAAAATCACTCTTCCCTCTTTATAACAAAAAGCTTAAAAGTTTTTTCCGTTTTATTCTAAACAGAAATGCTTGATATTATAGCAAGACATTAAGAAATGGGGCTTTATATTTAGAACCAAATGTTATATTTACTGTTATACCTAATCACCTTCCATGCTCAGCTACTGTGAAAACTTCTCCTACTGATAAGACCTGAAATACGTAATTATTTTAGTGTGAAGTCACAGTACTGGAGCAGTACAACAGCTTAAGAAATCCCATAACATTCCTAATTGATACTTCAAAATGACGCTCTCTTAACTAGCTGCTGCTTCCTCAGGACACTGCCTTCACTCAACACGGAAGAAGTTGCTGGGTTATAATGACATGCATCGTTGTGGTGAAACTAGTATCGGTAGGATTAGGCTAGTCCTCAAGCTGTTCTTCCAGCCTTGTTTACCTGGAAACCTGCCACATTCTTCAGTCCAGCCACTGCCTTGTTCTACAGTTTGAGAGTGGATACCTTTAAAGGAAGTAGGGTGAAGAAAAATTTCTGAGAACTTTCTTTTTTCTACTGCCCCTTGCCTTAGCGACAGAGCTTTTAAATGGGATATTCTGGCTCCTGGTACCTGGCACCACCATAGCCAATTTATTGTTTTCATTTTCTTTAATAACTGTAAGAAAGGCAAGAAGAGCAAACTTTCATCATTAATGTAACACCATCCAAATAATTGTGTGAGAATATTGTAGGTTTCGTACTTTTAAACTGAATTAGTTGGAAGTTTCCATTGTGATCATCAATTAAAAAATATGGAGTTTATTTTTCCCATTAATATGAAAACATTGCTGAAGAATACAGCTTCCGAAACTGTACATGCACCACTGCTTGGCACACTGAGGCAACATCCACACAAAAATGCATATACACTGCACAAAAGTGGTAAGACTAGCAATAAAGAAGCTGGTTCCGAGAGCCAGTAAAGTGAGCAGGCGTGAACCAGTGACTGGTACACACAGCCACACATGCCATTTTCTGCTTGACAGACTGCTCTTAACTAAGTGTGCTTTCTCAAAGTAATTTCATTTCATTCCTTTTCTTACCTGAAAAACTATGCAATACTTTTCATTAATTCTGAAAGCTTAAACACAGGCCTGAAATCATTATATGCTAGAAAACTGCACTGAAATATCTATGGACCAGTCAAGCTCTAAACAGCTAGCAATACTGAGATTTATCTGCTTGCTTGCACTGGAGAACAGGCACAGAGTAGCCCTCCAGGAAGAACATCCTGAAAATGAAGATAAGGACAACGGGGGGAGGGAGAGAAGGAAGTCAGACAAATAACAGGGCCTTTAAGGTGGGAGGGAGGGAGGAAAGGAAGGAGGGAGAGGGAATAGGATGGAAGATGCATGCACTTTTTAGCAGACGACTAAACCTTAATACAAATGCAGAAAAAGAAGGGCCTCTGCAACTTCATCAGCTCAAACAAAGATAACACTTAATTTGATTGCTTGCTTTGAGTGACATTCCTCTTGCTTTGCACAAATGGAATAAAATCTGTGGATTATTCATTTAGCTTGAACTTTAAGGACTCCTATGCTTTTACATGATAATGCCAAAGCTTCAAATGAAGTTGCCATAAGTCATCATAAAAGAAATGTTTCCAGGAGACCGCACTAAAGGTTCACAGTCAGCTGTGCTACTTTGTACAAGGATTACATGAGACGAAGCTTCATCAGTTTCCTAAGAACAAGCAATTTTTATTGTCACTGTAACTAAAGATCCAGCAATATAGATTCCACACAGGCAAAAGCTTTTGCTGCTGTATTTCTAAATGATGCACAATTCCCAACAGCCTCAGAAGATATACCTGAAGATGATTCAATGGGTGAAGGTTTGCTCAGGTTTTCTTTGGAGTGGGGAGAGAAAGGGAAGGAGAGGAAGGAAAGGGACACAGGAATTTACGTGTTTTTAAACTGTATAAAATAAAGCCTGAAAAAGCTCAAGATTCCTCCTCCTCCACCTTTCTCTGTTTTTACCTTACTTAGCAAATTACTGCTAGTTTTCTGTAGGTCATTTGGAGTCTCAAAGGATGCTTCTCAATTGGGGACAGAGCAGTAGGGCAGTACTGACAGTCTCTCACAGTAATTCCCAAAGGTCTAATAGACATTGCTCAGGGAAAGAAAAGGGTCTGAAAAAAGATACTGACAGCCCAATTGAAAAATCCCTCTCCTGGCTACCAATTTTAGGATGGGAAGAAGGAAAAGGAAGAACAAAAAAACCAATCATCAATACACTCAACATACACTCAACAAGGTGCATATTTCTCTTTTAAAGTGACTAAACAGGTTCCACCAAAGTTTAAATGAAAGCTTTAATACATTTATTTTCATACATTCTAAAATCAGAATTAAAAAAAAATAAATCAAAATTAAGACCAACATTAAATACACACATACAACAGGTTTGTAGCACAAGTATTTGGCTACACTATGAATAGGTTAGACAAGTAATCATAAGAATGAACAAGGTGGCCTTGCCTGTGCATTCAAAACTATTAGCAATGATTAACATTAACATGAAAAAAATAAGATTTCCCATGTTATAAAAATTCTTTTCTGTTAATAAAACATTTTAAAATATTTGGCACTTTATTTTTTTAAAAAAATATACAGCTTTTTATCTCATTTATGTATACGGTAGCATTTTTTTCCCCTCACACCTGAACATTTAGAAGAAAATATTTCATTTCTCTATGCTTCAGTTTCTTTCACACTGAATAAGTATTCCAAGTTTTCAGGTTGGCATAGTCAGAAGTGACTGCATTTAAACAATAATTCTTTGTTTGAATTTGCTCAACTGCTTTCCTCCAAGAAAAGATTGACAGTCTCCTATAGCTACCTTTTAAAAATCAAATAAGTAATCATCCTTGAAAAAGTATAACAACAATATAGTTTGTTTGTTATTACCCATTTTCTGACAAATTCTGCTACTCCACTAATTAAGGACACCGAGGATTTTGCAGAATAAAAGTGATACAAGAGTATTTTAAATCAAGACAGAAATATTTGAAAGCTTATTTCAATACTATTACCATAAGAAATAAACTACTAAGTCTCGCTCCAACAAGTCATTCCTCCTCTCAGTTTTCCATTATTTTTCCTGGTAAGAGAAAAGACATACCACTTAACTTTAAAATTTAACTTTCAGCAGTCCTTCAGGGGAAATCTGACTTAAATGTTCCTTAATACACAGTCTGCAAGTTTGCACATGTTATTTATTCAAACGTTTCTTTAATTGTTCTAGGTGCCTTGCATCAGCATCCTGGAGAAGTAATACAGTGGCTTTAGACTGAAGTGGATTAAACTCTATAGTCATCAAACAACAGAGATCTATCAGTTGTTTTTGACATTTCTCTAAACCATCCTTAAGCTTTAGATGTAAAGCTGGATCCTTTTTCAGCCTATTCATTTCAGGCACTGAAAAGCCAATCAAACTTGTTAGAATATCATTAGCAAAATCTACTTCAAGATAAGCTGAGCCATCAGAAATTTTTGCCTTTATACCCCAGGATCCATTGCTGCTTGTGAGGTTTCCAGTAAGAGTAACAATAAAACATTTAACTTTCAGAATTGTAACAGTTTCTGGGTTTTTTGCCAGAAGAAGGGAAATATACGTGAAAGGTGGAGAATCCAAGTCTACAAGTGCCTCTACTGCTCTACAAGAAACGGTCTGGGAAACATGCGGATCTAATTCTGGATCTGTTTTTGAGAAAAATACAGGGTTGCAATTTAACAGCCTGCTGTCAGAAGAGTGCTGGGGCTTACATCTGCTCTCATCTAGGTCTGTATCATTCTGCCTTTCCTCAGAAGGATTTTCCAAAGCAAAATCTGTAGAACTGCATGTCTGATGTACACTCTTGTGCTGTGAAAAACTACTCATGCTATTTCCATCTCCATCAAATACTGTTCTTCCAAAAGTCTTTTGCTTGCTGGTAGCTTCTACAGGCTTATCTCTCCCATTCACATCATCTTTTTCACAAGTGCCATTTAAAGATGAATTGCAAGAGCTTCTAGATGTATGTGGAAGTCTCTCAGCAATTAAACCTATGTTTCTGTTCATGACCACTGGCGGCACTTCTTCCAGCTCTCTTTGCATCTCTTCTTCCAGAAGAAAGTCATCTTCTAAAGGCAAGTCATTTAAAAAGCCATCGACATATTCTGTGGGAGGTGAAACGTGTTCATCTGAATGAGGCAAAGGACTTCCAGATTCCTGCAGCAAACCATTTCCATTGTGTGCAGTCAGCGAACCTGAGGCTGTACTAAAATTGTTGCTTCTACTGCAGTATCCACTTTCTAAAGATGCTTCATTATTTAAAGAAAATCCGTTATTTTCATCAAGACTGGCTAAAAGCTCTTCATCTGAAGGGCCTGGAATTTGTTCTAATTCATGCACCGGCCTTGAAGCAGTTTGGTTGTGACCAGCTTGCCCAGCAGAATTAGGGTTTTCTGTTTCTCCTATTAACCTAGCAAGGACTCTTTCCTGAGAATACTCCTCCAGAAGAGCATCCACTTCACCCCCCAACAGTTTCACATTTTCTGGTTTAAGCAGAAGAACTCCAAGACGATATGCAATATTACCCTGTACAGTGATTTTTGTTCCAGGAGGAAGGTTACTGTGGAGGACAGGCACTGGTTGATACTCCATGCCCTGAATCTGATGTATCCCATCAGTTAGCTGCAGCATCAGCATTCGAGTAGGCTTTGCTTCCCAGGGCTTCGGGAAAGCCTGTGTCACAGCTGTTACTTCTTCATTTACAGTATTTTTCCCTCTTAGCTTCTGCAACTGGGAATACGCTGGCTGGCTAACATCAAGAAGTGAATCAATCTGTATGGAGTAGAAGCCTGACAACTCTCCTTTGGGAGCATCTAAGATGCAGTCAGGCAAAATGGGGTATTCCAAATCTCTTAGATCAGTAAGAAGCCATTGCTCAAACACCTGCCTGTTAATCTGAGCTTGACTTAAGTTATTACCACCATTTTCTTCCTGGATCCAACTAATACACGCTTCCAGCCATGTCAAAGGAACTTTAACATGCCATGTGGATGAAAGCCAAGTTTCCACTCTTGCTGCAACATTAGCTGTAGACATTTTCTTTTAAGAGAGTGAATTCCCTAGAACAAAACCCAAAAAGACATATTTACTCTTGTGACAACAGATAAAGTTATGACCACTCTCTTGCTCGTATTACACAGAAATTTGCTCTCCATTCAAAGTTTTGCTGTTCTTAGTGTAACAACATAGAGTTGATTTAAATGAAAAATGCTTCTACAGATATTAAAAATAAATATGCGTTTTCAACATTTAAAGTTTCAATCGGCATAAAAATTATGTGCAGTTTACTCATCATGAAGTAACAGGAAAGTATTCTACAAGTAACCTGCTTGGTGACTTCTTCTTTTCTGTTGATTTAATTAGAAACATAACTAGAACCCTTTTGTTATGGATGAAAAGCAAATGGACCAAAAAAACCAATGCAGAAGTAGGTTGTTATAGGTATGCCCTCTCTTTTTTGTTGGTTTTACTTCTGCGGGTGCTGCCGTTACCACACATTTTACTTTGGAAATTGACCTGAGAAGTTATTCTCCCATCTCATCAGCACTGTTATGAAACAAGAGACCCCACTTACAACAGAACCAAGCTGGCATCTGTCAGCCCCTTGTTGACTTTTATACTGTAACTGGATGAAAGCTTTGTACCCCACAACAGAAAGCTAGCTTGAAACATCATTGTTATCTAGAGACCCAGTGCAGGGTTTGACTGCAATAGTACCAGCTCTTGGCAAGCATCATCTCAGGAACATCACTGGCTAAGAAGCTCTAGCTTCTTGTTAGTTTAGAAAGTAGCTATGCTAAAATAGAATAGAGTACAATATAGTATTTCAGTTGGAAGCGACCTAAACAATCATCGAGTCCAACTGCCTGACCAATTCAGGGCTGACCAAAAGCTAAAACATGTTATTAAGCATGTTGTCCAAATGCCTATTAAACACTGCCAGGCACTCAGCATGGACCACCTCTTCAGGAAGCCTGTTCCAGTGTTTGACCACCCTCTAAAGAAATGTTCCCTGATGTCCAGTCTAAATCTCCTGGTGCAGCTTGGAACCATTCCCACACGTCCTACCCCTGGATACCAAGAAGAGATCGGCACCATTGTCTCCACTTCCCCTCCTCAGGAGGTTGTGGACAGCAATGAGGTCGTTCCTCAGCCTGCTATTCCCTAAGCCTGAAGTCCTTAGCCACTCCTCATAGGACATGCCTTCCAGCCCTTTCACCAGTTTTGCTGGAGGCATTCAAGTACCAACATCCTTAAATTGTAGGACCCATAACTGCACATAGTAGCCAAGGTAAAACCACACCAAAGCTAAATACAGTGGGATAATCCCCTCTTTTGACCGGCAAGTTGTGCTGTGTTTGATGCACCCCAGGACGCAGTTTGCCCTCTTGGCTGCCAGGGCACACTGCTGACTCATATTGAGCCTGATGTCAACCAGCACCCCCAGATCCCCTTCTGCAGGAAAATTTGTCTCCCAATTTGTACTCCTGCCAATCTGGCGTTTGTTCTTGTTAAATTTCATGCCGTTGCTGTTTGCCCAGTGCTCCAATCTATCTAGATCCCTCTGCAAGGCCTCTTGTCCCTTGAGGTGCAGCAGCACCTCCCAGTTTAGTATCATCAGCAAATTTGCTAACGGTGCATTCAACTCCTGCATCCAGATCATTGATAAAAACATTAAAGAGATATTATTGTGTCTGGATTATGTTGAACCCCTCAGAAAGGACGACCAAGGAGCTCAGCCTCCCTACAGAGTGCAATGAAAGCAAAAATTACCATAAAGAAACACCAGGTTTGGAGTTCTTTTTGCCACTATAGCCTGCAGCAAAGAAAAAACACGCTGCCTTCAAGCTCTCCCCAAAGCTCCACCACTGGGAAGACACCGCGCAGGTACTTCAGCAGTAAAGTGCCCGCATACACACACGCAGCGCTGTCTCTGCGGGCCAGGGCTGTGAGGGGGCTGAGGTGAGGGGCCGAGGTGAGGCGGCGGGTGGTGTGAGGGTGAGGGGGCCGAGATGAGGGGCCGAAGTGAGGCGGGGGGTGGTGTGAGGGGGATGAGGTGAGGGGCTGAGGTGAGGCGGGGGG